ATAAGAAACTTTGCACGTATATTTATGTCAACTTAAACTAACCCTAACCCCAACTCTAACAGTCTACTTATAATCTAATGAGAGTAAGTGGGCATGTAGATGCAAACTGAGCCTGGTTTCACTCGAGGTTTTTTTAATTCTTCACTTTTGCCAATTGGTGAGGTTTTTTTTCTTCGCCGCTGTCGCCCCTGGCTTGCGTGGTTCGGGATATGTAGAGCTTTGCATCGATGGATTTGCTCTTCAGTGTTTGGACTCTCAGTAGTGATTATTAACCACACTAAACTGAGCTAAACTGAACTTAAAGGTGCAGTAGGTGACATGCCAAAATGCTAATCGGATAGCATATTAGCTTTGGACAGCAGGGAGGGACTGTGTTTCAAAGCCACGCCTCTTGAAATCACAAGCGCGCCCACCGCGACACGACAGGAGACAACCCAGTTCATTCGCCAGTTAGAAGTGTATGTAGTGGTTGGCCGGGCAGCGTGCAGGAATTTCACTTATTAATAAGCCACACTTGCATGATATTTTAGACTGAATATTCAGAGTAGTGGTAAATAATATCGGGAGCGCGTCACAGGCTGTCATTGTTTAGAAATGACCCAATGTGAATATAAAAGCAACTTCAGCTCAGCATGCAGGCTAGGCGGAATAGCGTTATTTACTGATGTTTTGTTGTTAAACTGAATATAAATCTACATCATATATGCTGTAAAAGCTACCTTATGAAAATAAAAATAGCCACATCTAGCTTCCACTGGGAGATTTCAGTGGCTGAACAACACATCTGTGCATAGAACCCATTCATAACAGTATACACTGTACATCAGCTGTGTGTGACCAATATAGTTTTAAAACAGAACATTACCTGTCGAACAGAAATACTTCAGCCGTGGTGTGGTGTCCTCCCTCCAGCGTGCAAAAGTAACTCCAATACTGATTCAGGAGTTTAAAAAGTTTCAATCAGCATTTGATTTTGCCGCAACTGTGACAGTCTCACCTGCACGTGTCACTCATCTCGGAGTGCACGTGCGAGACGCATGCACACGCTAATGGCGGATATGCGTGAACAGAGATACACAAAAGTCCTGCACTTGTTGACTTACAGTTTGAGTTACTTATCGGAATTATGAGAGATGTCGACCCGACTCTATTTAATTGGATTTACATTTTTTTGTTTTATGCCTAACCCAAAATATAAAAATACAAATAAATACATTTAGATGATTTATTTTAACCATTACTATTGGAATGTGAAGAGACTTTCAACCAGCACAACTAAAAATGTTTCCGAAGACAATCAGCTACTGCACCTTTAACTTAAACACTGAAAACTTAACCGACACCGTTTCAATTTGCTATGATTTTCTACATGAAGCTGCTTTAACACAATTTACATTGTAAAAGCACTATAGAAATAAAGGTAAATTGAATTGAATTGAATGTAACTTATATTCAATTACGACTTATGTTTTGGGAAACAACACCGTTCTTTTTCCAAAAGATGCATCGTACTATGATAGTTCAGCCACGAGTTATGTCGTTGTTTGGAAAACGCACCCCAAATTAGTAATAAAAAAAAAAGCATTTATAGACTGCCATATAGCCGCGGATATATTTTTTCATCATTGATCTTTACCTAAACTCACAAAATACATGTTAAATCAGTTGTCACTCACTATGTCACAATATTATACCTTAACAAAACAATTTGTAAATTCTCAATGATCAAAGTTCTGTAGCTTCTATTGTTGTCTAGATTTTTGCTCTTTATGTCCTCATCAACCTTGAACCTTAATCATGACTCACTGGAAATGAATGAATTGAAATCTGTAGATTTATTCACTAATTTGGTTTTCTCACTAATTCATCAGATATCCTTCAAAGCTGCAAAAGCAGCCGTCTCACTCTCTTTCAGTGTCTTTATAGAAAAGCTAGACCGAATACTGAATGTGACCTGGTATAATGAAGAACCGACTGTGTTTGAGAGACACAGAGGACCCTGAGAAAGACACGGAGAGAAAGAGCATAATAGGGTTTAAAAGTGGTCTCAAGATAACATTAAGCATGTCAGTAAGCTTGCGGCGCGCAATAATTACCCACCGGGAATGGCAGACCTGTGCTTGTTTGACGATGAACTCTACCATGGGCTTAAATGATGGGCTTTGTGGGTGTGTGTGAACCTGAGAGGGTGGCCGTACACAGGGCCACCGCACTCTGGGGTCCGGCCAATGTTCACTCCCACTTTCAATCCAATCAGGATGTTGGATGGGGTTACCTGCCACAATGGTGGCAATGTGAGCTCAACTTTCACCATTGGAATGGATTGGAAGTGAATGAAGTAAACGGCTAGCAGTGGCACTCTGTATAATGGAGCGAAATAGAATATTGTGGAACACATTACGGGTAACAATAGCATGCAATGGAGGAAATAGAGGGAAATAAAAAAGACAGGAAGGACGGTGAGTGAGTGGTGTGCACAGTAATGCACACACAACTCCCCTGATTAGGGCTGCACAATATATCATTTCAGCATCTATATTACAATGTGCACATCCACATTTAGATAAGATTCTGACCGTATGTCAACCTAGGATAAAAATATCCTGCTTTCTATTGTGATTACGGCTCTAAAATATGTTGTTTGAGAATGTCTGGGTAAAAATAACAACATTTCCCCCCCATTGAACACCGTATATTTCATTCTAAGAAACATTTATGGAACATTAAACATGTCAGGCCAAACAATTAAAATTAATCATTGACTTCTACTGTCTTCATTCATTTCAAAAACACAAATTTCTTAACGACTTGAAAATGCACCTTTGAATATCTTTCTTTTCTTTGGATGTAAAGAATCGATTTGTTTTTCAAATGTTTGTTGAATCATGGGCTGACCAGGAGCTTTTGATGTGTTTTGATCTATTACATCCAAGTTGACTATTGTAATTCACTGTATTTTTCTATTGTCAGACAGCTTTATCCCGTTTACAGTTAGTTCAAAATGCTGTGGTAAAGCTTTTAACGAGTACCAAAAAACATGACCATATTCCACCAGTCTTACGCTTTTTGCACTGGTTGCCTGTGCACTTTTAAAAATCTTTTCTTGGTTTTTAAATCACTAAGTGGCCTGGCACCTTCTTATCTGTCAGATCTGTTGACTGAACATCAGTCAGTCTCTTTAGTCATTAGAGTAGAGTTTATGCATCCCTATGCGGAGGCTGAAATGCTGAATATACACAAATACACTTCATTAAACATGCACACATAGAAATCATCTATAGGCAATAAAATTGCAGGTTAACTGCACATGTGTGTGTGGGTGATATACATATATATATATGTATGTATATATATATATATATAAATATATATAAATATATATATATGTATATGAATATGTATATGTATATATATATATATATATATATATATATATATATATATATATATATATATATATATATATATATATATATATATATATATATATATATATATATATATATATATATATATATATATATACATACATATATACATATATATATATATATATACATATATATATATATTGTCTTTACATTGTTTTCTAGTTACATTTTAAGTTTTTGTTTTTAATTTAGAGTAATAATATAATAGTAACAAATTAATTATTATTGTAGTTATATATAATAAATATAAATAAATTGTCATATTTATTGAAAATAAATATATTTATTATTAGTTAATTTTCAGTTTGTTTGTATGCTGTCTGAATTGTTTGTTTGAGACAATTACGTGTTCCAATGAGAGTAATAAAAAGTCAAGTCTTTATTTCTTAGGGGATGGCATTTGGTTGTATGTGGGATGGTTCACCCATGGTGCCATTACAACAATAACCGCCAATGACCATATTAGAGTGAATGTTTATTGTTTGCATAGGTTTTTTTAAGGCCTGTGACTTTCATGCAGAAGGATTTTTAATGCTTGTAACTTTAACAAAGGCTCATTTTATTGAATAATTTATACATTTAAGACTATGAAGTGTTTTTACATTTGATTATATGAGTTTTTGCACATGAATAATGTTAGACTCTACAGAAAACCATAAAGCACTGTTTATTTCCCTTTTATCTTTGCTTATTTGTATTTATCTTTGCTTTTGTGTATATATTTCCTTCATGATTTACCCCCTACAAAATCATCCTAATTGATCTAAAATAGTGAATTCTTTGCAAATAGAGCTATTTAAGTCATCTGGAGAAATTGTATTTATATTGCAATACTAGAAAAACAAAATATAGCAATGTCAGATTTTTCCAATAATGTGCAGCTCTACTCCTGATCCAGGGAATTTAGCTGTATTACGCTTAATTCCTTGAAATTAATTCCTATTCTGGAGTAATTAATGCACTCCGAGGGAGAAGATCAGTGGGACTGAGAGGGAAAGATAAACAGACTGCTGCTGTTTTATGCTTTCCTCTGACTTTTTCTTTTCTCGCCTCCGTATGCCAGTGTCAGTTTTATTAATGCACTCATTATAAACCCAGTAATCACCTGCTAATGGAGCAGGATCAAATCCAAACCATAACAACCAGTAACACTGGAAATAATCAACCCCGTTAAGCGATTGTAATGTAGAATGAGAGTAAAAGTGGAGGTTGTGGGTCGCTTTAAACAGGGATTTCACCAAGCGCTGAGTGATTTGGACAGTGCTAAGTGCTCATGTTGTGCAGTTTTGCTTTTAGAAATGTTACAGTAATTTGCATACATAAGCAAGAACGCTTTGACTTGTTTTGCTGACTTTATGTGAAAACTGTCATGTATGGATTTTGTTTTGTTTTCAGATATTGTCAACTGCCTATTTAGCAGGCTTGTCTAATAATAATATTCTGTGATTATGTGATCTATTTTGCTGAAAGCAGTGCTTATAGTAAGATATCTGAGGTTTATTTTACTCTCAATTCTTGTATTGTAAGTCATTATACTTTTGTAACATAAAGTTGTTTTTTCTCCTTTAGTCATTGGTGGTTCCTGATCCAGACACCAATCTAAGACGAGTGACCTGCATCTCTCATCTGAATGGTTTTCATTCCACTAGAACAAAGGTTTGTTTTCAAGTTCCCAAATTTGCAGTTAAAGTAGAATTAAAATTAAATCAAATTTGACAAGAGTCATACAACTGCATTTTTGACAATTGGTTCCTTTTGTTTATTTGAGTTTTGAATTTTATGGCCCATTTCACTAAGGGGTATGGCACGGTTCGGTACGGTACGGTTTTATGGCCGTTTCCACTGTCAAAAGGTACCTAAAAGTAAACCGTACCATACCAGTTTTTGGGTACTCTTTGCAAAGGGTACCTAGCACGAAAAAAAGGTGCTCAGAGCTAGACGCGCAGCTGAATGCTATTGGTTTACAAAGAAACGTCCCGGCGCATACACAAGCAGGAGAATGAAAACAAAGGATAGCCAATTTTAAAAACACAGTCGAGACATTACATCATAATACTATATGCATATAATAACGAGCCATGGTTGACCCGAGCTCAAACAAATCTTGTCATTGTCTTGATGTACAGCCACAATGCCAAGAGGAACAAAATCTGCCGTGTCCTGTTTTCATTTTACAAGACCGTATAAAAGTGAGAGCGATTTCACTTTCTCCAAGGAGCTCGCGATCGCTTGTGTGTGCATCTATATTTGAAATAATAAACTTCTTGAGCTGATGATATTAATGTGCGTGTGATTAATGAAGTGCTTCGGACATCAGATCCTTTCAGAAACGGACAAACGCAAGAGTGAAGCACAAAAAAAAAAAAAAAGGAGAAGCCAGAAAAAATTATTCTTTCAGCAACATAAAACATGAACAAACTGCCATGTTGAACTATTATCATCACCTTTTGGACTATTATGAACTCGGAATGACGGAATTACTCTCTAACAGTGGTCACATGTGCTGTCGAAGATTAAAGATACAGATGAGAGGTTTGCATTGACTGGGCTGCGTGTTGTTTTTGAACCTAATTAAAGACTAAATGTATGCGTTGGGTAGTTTGTCTGTAAGTGGTAACATATCGGAGACTGTAAAGGGGCTGTTTGTGTTCATATATGTTGCATTTATTTATTTATACATATAACTGCAGATGTTACAGTACACTATTTTGCACTTTCATTGATCTGCAGTTATAACCAAATTATGTGCATAGAAAGATTATTAATGAACATTTCTACACAAGTATTTATGTGTATAAAGCATCTGTTTTGTGAGAAGTGCTTCTCATATGATATGTGAACGACCTGTACAGCTTTATTTTGAGCGAGATTTCCATGAACGAAAATGCCGTTGACTGAAACTTTTTGTTGTACACCATGCCCATCAAAAGGCCCAAGTACCCTTAGTATCCTTTAGGCACTGGAAACACAAGCTTGATAAGGGTGACCTGTACCGACACGTCCCGTTCTGTACTGTACTGTACCAGTAAGTGGAAATGGACCATAACGCTGCAGTATGTATGTAGGATTGACACCTAGTGGTGAACTAGACATTGTAGTCCAAATTCAAAATACTACTTTTTTTTCACCCCACCCCTCTATCTCCAACTAGAAGCACAAACAGGTTTCCAGATTGGGGTGATACAGTATATAATTGTGTAAACTGGCAGTGGGTGGAGGTACACAGACCAAAACAAAGACAAACATTTCAACACAGAAAACACGTTTTCAAAGAAGAATAACTGACTGTATCATTGTTGTCCGATAAACCAGCATGTTTCTTAAATATCTGCAAGCATATATATTTTATGCTTTAGAAGAGTCAAAATCTTACACAAAGCACATTTAAACCTGAACTTGGAGCATCTGTGTATTGTCCTGGTTTGAGTATAGATTAATTCATCACATTTAATAAAATAATCTTTTGTGACCTAGGGTGAAAGAGCACTTCCAAGTGCACATCCTGTGTTAAATTTCTTTGAATTGCAAGTTTGCAAATTCTTCTTCCTGTGAGTGAATTCATCTTCTTGTGACCAATACGGTTCAAATTCAAAATTTGCAGAAACTAGACTGAGCTTTAGTTCTGCAATTTGCCTTACTTTGGGAACCAAAACATTATTGTTACTGGCATACAGGTTCATTTAAAATACACACACACACACACACACACACACACACACACACACACACACACACACACACACACACACACACACACACACACACACACACACACACACACACACACACACACACACAAAATGCTCAAATTTAAATCAAGAGATACTATTCAAAGGTTGAGGGTTAATAACTTTTTTTTGTATAGAAGTATACAGTCAACTTGTATTCACTCCTTTATTTGATCAAAACACAATTGAATCTGAAATGTTCTGAAGTATTATGATTTAACAGCAATTAGTTGATGCATATTGTACATGGCAATTTATTCCTCTGATGGCAACTGATAGTCATGTGATCCTTAATATGCTGCTTAATACACACATTTTTATATAATGAATTGAAAAGTATGACTAGTTCATATTTTTCCGAAACCCATTTTTTCAGTGTTCTTTTAATAGTAAAAGGTACAACATGGAAAACTGTTGTATTCTTATAAATGTCTGTAGTCACTTTAATATCACTTTAATATCGCAAGCTCCTGCTGACTCCTCACATTCAATGCTGTTGTGCTTTGAAGCCACAACAGCTCATTCTCAGCTAAAGGGCTTTGTCTCCCCAAATGTGCAATTTGCCCTCAACACTCTTTTTATATATAAATTTGGGACAAATATAAGGACTAAACTCTATCTTGCACAGCTCATCCTGCAGTCAAGACTGGCTTTGTCTCAAATCGCCATATAATAACAGTTAGACTCAGTAGCACTCTGTTTAATTGCATTAACACATTGTTATATAAACAAGATTTCAGATTTACTCTGTTGAGACTACAGAAATGTAAACCTCTGTGGTGGCAGCGTGTCTGTTGTCTAATGAGAGAGTCATAGCTTACGCTGGAATGAGGTATTTCTCGTGTCTCTGTAGAATCTCTGTTTACTTGGGAGAAATTAAGCACTTTCCTCCTGCCATGGAGGAGAGCTTAAACAGTGCTGTCAGGGACATCAGGAATGTCAATGGCTATTCCTGCATGTCTGGCTTTTAGTGACGCAATGGGTACGGACAATCAAGATGTGCAATTATTCTGTCAACAGAGGAATCTGACCATTTCACCACTGCTGAATAAACCTGCTGAATAAACAACACAGGATAGAGAGAGTGTAATTGTTTAAAATAACTTCCCTCTGCGTCATGCTGGGCTGATGTGAGAACTCTGTTTTGTGGTGTTTGTCACTTTGAGATTGGTGTAGTTCAAACGTGTATACAGTGAGGTTTGTACTAATGGTAATAATAAAAACGAAATAGTGAAGATCTGGTTGTGGTTATTAAACATTAATTTATTTGTTTATTTATAAATTAATTCAATTGTTTATTAATTAATTAATTAATTCATTTGTTTATTCATTAAGTCATTCATTCATTTGTTCGTTCATTGATTCAGTCATTCATTCATTTGTTCATTAATTAATTCATTCATTCATTTGTTCATTCATTAATTCAGTCATTCATTCATTTGTTTATTCAATAATTCAGTCAGTCATTCATTTGTTCATTCAATAATTCAGTCATTCCATTCATTCATTGTTCATTAAGTCATTTAGCCTTTCATCCATTCATTCATTCATTCATTCATTCATTCATTCATTCATTCATTCATTCATTCATTCATTCATTTAATAATTCATTCATTTGTTCAGTCATTCATTCATTTGTTCTTTCATTCATTCAGCCATTTATTCCTTTGTTCGTTCCTGGATTTTTTCATGCATTTATTTGTTCTTTCATTGATACATTTTTGGATTTATTAATTCATTCTTCAGTTCATTCATGCTTTCATTTGTTCAGTATTTTGCTAATTCATATATACATTTATGCATACATCATTTCATTCCAGAATTCATTTGTTCATTGATTAGTGAATGAACGACTGAGTGAATGACTGGAAAAATGAATAAATGAATGAATCAAGGATAACATCCTGAATTCATTCATTCATTCATCCATTCATTCGTCCATTCATGCATTCACTCATTTGTCCATTCATGCATTCATTTGTTTCTGTCATTAATAAATGATTTATTTTTGGATTCATTAGTTCATTAGTTAATTCATTCATTCTTTCATGTACTCATTCATGCTCTCATTTGTTCATTCATACATTAATTCATGCATGCAAACATTTATGCTTTCATTTGTTCATTCATTCCTACATTAATGTGTTCATTCATTAATTAATTAATTCATTCATTCATTCCGGGGTTCATCCATTCATTGATTAGTGAATAAATGTGTGAACGAATGATATGAATAACATATCCTGAATTCATTCATTCATTTATTTATGCATTCTTTCATGCATTTATTCATTAACTTGTTTTTTCATTGATACATTATTTTTGATTCAATTGTTCTTAGTTCATTCATGCATTTCTTCATGTACTCATTCATAGATTCATTAATTCATGCCTTCATTTGTGCATTTATTCGTTCATTGATGCATTCATTCATTCATGCATGCATTCCAAAATTCATCTGTTCATTGATTAGTGAATGAATGAGTGGATTCATAAATGAAATGATTGAATGAACAAATCCAGGATAATGTATCCTGAATTCATTTATTCATTTAATCAATCAATCAATCAATCAATCAATCAATCAATCAATCAATCAATCAATCAATCAATCAATCAATCAATCAATCAATCAATCAATCAATCTTTTGTTCGTTCGTTCAGTCATTTATTCTCTAATTTATTCATTAAATCATTCAATCATAATGCATTCATTCATGCATTCATTCATGTGATTATTCATTTATACATTCATTCATATGTTCATTCATTTATTCACATATTAGTGAATTCATTTGTTTATTGATGCATTTAAGGCAAATTTTATTCTTTTATTCTTCCATTTTCAAATACCCCCCCTCAATTCATTCCTTTATTTTCAAAATCCCCTTTTTAAAAAAGGGTTTGCAACTTAAAATATTATAGAAA